TTAGTATGAAATGAAATAAAGACAAGAAATTTGGGGAAAAAGATGTCTGTATACAAGTTAAAATGATCATCAAGGTCTGAGTAAGGTCCGTCCCCTCGTCTGTGGTCATGGGTTTCACATACATAAGCCCTTTTAAGTTCTTTCATTTGAAGAATAATATATATTTTGCTTTAAGCTGTTTTAGTCCTACTGCATTGAGGGTTATTTATTGTAAAAAGCACAATTTCCTAATTACTTACGGTAAATGCTTTAGTTTCTTTCTTGTCTTTACAGTTCTCAACAGCAAACTACGTCGCACTGACTGGAAATCCCTTGCTTCGGCTTGTAATCTGAAAACTCTAAAATAAAATCTTAAACGTTAAAAAAGTCGTAACTGTATACCGTGTACCTTACCAAACCTGGTCTCAAGTTCCTTTACAATGAGCACTTCAAGGAACTGGTGAAGAGACAGTATCTTGATCAGAAAACGCCACAAAACGGTGTCTTGTACTTCTTTGAAAGGGCGCGCCCAGTATAGAAGTCTCCTCCATTCATGATCATTCGCCGAAAATAGACGGCCGAATCGAAAGAAAACAGTTCGCTTCCCATGCTCCTGAAACATAACTTTTTCTTTCTATGTTTACAATGTGTTAGTAAAAAAAACAATACATTGATCGCTGTTTGCTTGTAATTTTATTGATCAATAAAAACAACATATTACAATAATTTGCGTTCGTTCAACTATTTAAATGGAAATTAGGTTTACTTATGCGCTATTTTAAAAGAAGACGCCAACACACATCGCGTGTTTCAACATTAAAACAACTTTATTGATCATCAAAGTGCAATTATATTACTGGCTTAGTACAAAATCGTCTGCCTATTTTTTCAGGAAATGGACTCAGTTTCTCAGTAGTTTGGAGCTTTTCTTCAGGAACGCAGCCAAAGCAGTACTTGATCTTGACCGGGCGCGCCTTTACAAATGTGTTCTTCACTCATTCTTTGATTGAAGTAGACGTCCAGGAGTAGAAAAAAGAAAAATGCTGACGTTCGGCTTTGCTGAAATGAAATTTCATTAGTAAATTGTTTATGGTTTCTTAAAAATCCTTTAAGATTAGCCATAAAACAACACACTGACAACTTTGTTTTGTTTATTTTTATTGATGCCATTGCATCTTTATCATCATTTACAAGATAGTTATTAAGCTAAATATCATGAGAAATAAAAAACACAACAGCAACACAAAAATATTTGTATCTTTTATTGAATTCCAGGTTCCATTTACAAAGGAAGATTAATTACTTAATAACGGACTCGCTGCTACAAGTTTCCATATGTCCTTAGAACGTGCCATTTCGAATGAGATACCCCAGGGTTAACCAGACCGAACCCAAGGGTCAATGGCTGCTTGCTACACTGACAGATTGTCGATACCAAGCCTTGAACCATTAGAAAGCTGAATTGGTAGACTGAATGCCAAATCGAAATCGGAAAAAGCCGAATTGAGAGAAGTAACGTATTATTACATTACTAAAGAAAAAAATCACTAACCTTGTGTCCCTGTGATTACTTGGGCTGACCGATATGGTGCAACGTTTGGAAAAACTGCACACCTACCTGCGAGCGTGTTCGTAGCGAACAGAACACTTTACATTACGTTCCGTTTTTAATCAACACGACGACACCGAAGACGGTTTTAACAGACGATGCACCATATAAACCAGCCCTTCCTTATATGGGCTGTTGTTGGTTGTATTTTCTCGCCATCATGCTTACATGTACAGGTCATGTTTCTCCAAAGGGAACTGGGCTCCATATGGGGCCTGGTGAGGCGTGCTTGGTTGGCTTGTTTAGATGATAAAAAGAAGTCAGTACGCTGAAAATTGAAAAGAAGTAAAACATTTGCTGAAGTTATGAAAAGCTAAAATGGTCTTTATAAGTTAAATGGTGTGTAGTCAGACACTTAATCAGAAGTTAAATGATCTGTTTTCTCTAGTTTCCTGAATTTGCCTCTGAGTTATTACTGTCTGGTTGAACTTTACGAATGAAAGCTTCACTTGCCCGGCGCACTGACTGTCAAGTGAAGTGTGGTTAGATAAATGAGATTTTGCGCAACTAAGCGGGAGACTGCAACAAAGACGACGATGGCGACCACGATGACGAAGACATAACGAGGAAATGAATCCAAGGCGAAGCGAAGACGAACGAAAGGACACCGAATCGAAGCCGAAATTTAGTTTGAAAAGCCGAATCAGGCTATCGTTAATCGAATTCGGCCTGCAAAACAACCCAAGTTTGAATAGGGGAAGGGGAGGCCCTTACCAGCCCAGGGGAACCTGCTAGCTAATCTAACTACAATTAGGTTAAGCCGAAATATGAATTCCAGTGACTACGAGCCGGAGGTGTGTGGAGAGTATACTTTGAAAGGTTCATACAGGGCTCTGCAAATTAACCTCCCTTAACCCAACCCATAATGAATGAACCTGACCTTGATGACCAGAAACTGACGATGGCATCTTGAATGTTGATGGTTCGGGATGTGCTGAGGAAATTTGCAGCTGATTTATAAAACAGGAAAAAGGTGGTCTGGTCGGGTTGGTCTGCCTGTGGAAACCGTTCTGATCCGTGGAGAGCTGAAATTCGTAAACGAAAAGGATTAACAAAACAGCACAGAAACGAAATTGAAATGAAATAGTCAACTAATGATAAAGTCAATTTGTTTGGGCCCGATGTGCAATCATGGCGAACTGACACTAAGGAATATAGGCGCATTCTTCACTTGCCCCCTTTGCAGAGTATTACATGCACTTGCGATGATACAAATGAACGGAACTTGCCATGACAAATTTCTTTCTTGCATGCGTGCAACAATTTCATACTATTTCACTCAAATAGCCCAAGTTGAAGCTTGTATATACATAATTTAACAAATGATACAAACACTTGTTTTAAGCAAACAATTTCTTTACAAGATGGCGTTCTCCATATGACAAAAAACCAGGCCTTACTTTTAATCGTTGACTTTCACGTCTGCCAATTGTATAAATCTTCAAGTCTGCAAGCTCTTCTCCATGTGGTTATCATCTGGCTTAGAGCGTCCTTCTCTGCTTCCAATTCAGTATTTTATCTGCAGCAAATGAATAATTCTTGGTGAGTATGACTACCAATATTAAAACGTACTTGAACAACAAAATAACCTGGTTTATCTTGCAGTTTTCAGGATATGAATAACAAACTTAACTGAACGAGCCTCGAATACCGAAAAGAATTTTGTACCTACCTTTTGTGGTTTGTTTTCTCGTCGCCAGAGATTCTTGTATGTTTGCCAGTAGCATTTTTGTGGCGAGGTGAAGAAGGCAAAACGAACTGAACGGCAGTGAAAGAGCAATATTCACCAAGAGTCAACATAACTGTTCGCAACAAGAATGGCGTATTTTCGCGTAAACCTTCTCAGACTGAATAATTATCACACAATTTTGAATTTGAATGTGGCGCTCTCGCGCAACCTGGGGATTTTAAAAATGTTTCATGATTGGTTCTTGTCATGCACGTGGAAACGGATGGAACCACGTAACATAATGGAGCACAATTTTTTCGTTTATCGTGTGTCTGTAGGAACTTCTATGAAAAAAAAAGCGTTTTAAGGGCAAGTCCAAATTTAATTTCTAACTGTTTTCTGGGAAGGAAAAACTTTTCGCTGCATTATCATTGTCTTTACAGGCATCATTTTAAAACGGGGGAGGGGAGGGGGTACGCGAACGTTCGTCTTTGGCTAGGCACTGATACTTTGACAAAAGAATCTCCAGCATTTTACACGGTGCAAAGCGATTGCCTGAGATTATGTACTTCCTATCTCTCTCTTTATTTTCCTGTTATCGGATCAGGCTCACGTGCACCCACGCAGTGCTCAAAATAATAGCTTTACTGCAGGTTAACAAAGTATTTTGTTTGGTGGGGAAAGGCTAGGTTGTTTGACGGGGATGGATTGTTTCGATTCTGGGGAAAAGCAATAACAAGGCCTAGAAAACCCCACCCAAACTGGATAAAATCACTTCTAATTTTATTATAAACCGTTTGAGACAAAACATAGGCTCCTGACATAAGTCAATAATAATTAGCTCGCTTCCCCGCTAGCAGACCTCTGCTAGCAGGGAATAGCTCGCGAACTTTTCAATTCAATATACCGACCTGTATTCGTTTCCAATTAAAACTCTAAAATAACTAATTTTTTTGCAGAAAAAAAAAAGGCTAACAGATTGAGCTGCCCCTGGGCTTTGTCTCCTCAACAGGTATTTCGACTATAATCCTTTTTTAAAATTTGTCATTGAATATCCTTACTAAAATCCGCACGTGGTCGGAGTCTATAATACCGTGTAACACATAAGAAGTGGTCGAATTCCATAATCTGTAAATGAAAAAGTCTTGTTTGTAGACGATCTTGCTTCATCTGCTTTTAGCCAAGCACGAGTGAAGCGCACCTGAGGCGTGAACAAATTGCCTTTGACCTTAAACTCACTGGCGGGGGATACGTGACGTTTGCGTGGTACAGGGGCGGAGAGGTTGAGGTCTAGGGGAGTAATTCGGTATTTTTAACATTTATTCCACGAGTGCGCGTTGGATATGAGATGGTAGATTAGATAGCCAACGAGGTGCGTGGCTATAATCATCTCATATCCAACAAGCGCTAGTGGAATAATTGTTCAATTAAAAACGCCCACAAAATATTGAGAATTCTTCCGGACTTTATTTGTAAAAACAACCGATTTTCAGCTTGTTTTTAATTTTGAGCAGACGCGTACAGTTACCAGATTTAGAGAGCATATAAAGTATAATAGCTCATATATCATGATGGATAAGCTTAATCAGAGCTCTAGAATTGCATTATCTAATGATTCAGTTTTTAATAATAGCTTTTATTATATAACTTTTCTACCCTATTAAATTTATTTCGTTTCCAAATCAACATCATTTCCCCCAAAAAACAACCGTAATGCCCCCTTAAGTAGAAACAGTATCCTAACTAATGCATACTGATATATCGTTCCAATGTTTTGGGCACAACTCCCATATAAGGAAGTCCAAAATTCTTTACCGCCCTAGCACAGATGCACTTCAGTTCCAGATTTCTTTTCTCTGATAGAATCCTGCGTGCCTCATCGGTTGTGACCAGGTCCATGGCTGTTTTACCAAGATTGTTGACGAAATCATGGTGAGCACCTTCATCTAGCAAAACCGTCAACATGTCAGACAAATGAAGGAGCTCGGCACGATTGTTGGGCTTGATAATGACCGCTCTGTGAAGCGGGGTATCGCCATTGTTGTTGACCGCATTAACACTGACCCCCGCATTCATGAAAAATTTTACTGTACCTATGCAGAGGATTTCACCACTCACAAGGTTACCAACAGCCTTGTGTAACAAGTTATTTCCAAGATCATCACGAGGATTCATTTGGACAAGTCTTTGCAATAACGCCGATAAACGCCTTGAAGTTTTCCCATATTCGTAACATTTCGTGATTTGCACAAGTTTTATTAGACAATGAAGAGAGTTAGACAAGTGTGATCTATGCGCATCAATCAGTTGCTTGAGTGGATTTTTCTCAGACGTTAGCTCTGTTATGTGCTTTTTTTCCATCTCATACTCAAGAATCGAGTGTTCAAGCAATGTAACTAAATCGTTCAATTTTGGATAGCCATTGCTCCTGACCATTTTATATAATAAACTGGTTAACTTATCAACTTCTTCTCTGGCTGAGTCACTGCACCTGTGGGCTATCTTAATTACACGCTTGTACAGTCCAATACAGGTGGGAAGGTAAAGATCACCAAGGTTACCATAGTATTGAGCAACAATTCGTAGTGGTTCAAGAAGTGCTGTATTTTCCCTTCCAAGAATTCTTTCTCTTATCACAAGACCCTCCAAAATTATGGCGTCAGTGCTACCTTCTATCTTAGCAAGTTCCTCCATGGTTTCGCTTTCTTTCCAATTTTGATAATCCTCATCAGCTTCAACTGGTTGTTTTAACAAAAGTTTTGAGCCATCTTCAAACCTTGCTTCCATAGCCCGCTTCATGTACTCATATCCTACTTCAAGGACATCATAGTCTCTAAGTGGCAAACAAGTGACGAGAGAGGCACCAAGGAGCTCTAGAGCATCGATCCTGTCTTTCGTTGTATATTCTGGCCTCAGAACCAAGTTCTCTACAACTGAAATCTCGCACCGATTACAGACATAAAGTAAAGGGGTCAGTCGTTGATTACTGTATAAGTTAGATGCCCCGAGGGTAAGAAGTTTGTGAGCAACTTCACTGATATTGTTAACAAAGTTACCTCGATAACATGTGAGGGCATAGTGAAGAGCAGTGAGGCCCTCTTTGTTTTGATAGTCGATATTGGCTCCATTTTCAATGAGGAAATTTACAATGTTAATACTATTCATTTCACTTGCTTTCATCAGAGGAGAACTGAGACATTTTGTACGTGCGTTTACGTTAGCTCCGGCACTAATCAAACATCTCACTACATCACAAGTATCATGATAAGAGGCACGTACTGCGTAATGAAGAGCGCTCCTTCCTTGATCGTCTTCAAGATTAACATAAGCTCCATTTTTAAGTAAAAAGTTCACCAAATTTATGTCATCATTAGAGCTTGCAAGCATCAAAGGCGTGCGTTTATTATGCGTTCTTGCATTAACGTCGGCTCCATTTTCAATCAAACTTCTTGAAATGCCAACCGAGTCACCCTTGGCCCGAACAACGAAGTGTAAAGCTGTTTCGCCCCCCGTATTTTGAAGGTCCGTACACGCTCCTTGTCCAATGAGAAATTTAACTACATTTATGTGTCCTTTTTCACAAGCTATCATTAGAGGAGTACACTTGTCGCACTTGTGATCATCAGAATATATTCGAACCAAGCGGCGAGAATTAATATCGCCGCCATTTTCAACCAGACACCTTAAAACATCCATATGCCCATTAGCAACAGCAAAAGCTACTGGCGTTCCACAAAAAGAGCTTTCCATTGTCATGGCCATAGTGTCTAATGCTGTATTTATTTCATGGGCTTGCATTTGCTTTAAAATGTTCCGAAGTTTGTCTACATCTCCAGTCTGAGAAGCTTCGAAGACTTGTGTAACGCCAGGGTTTAGGGAATATGAACAGAGACGTACCGCGTTACGCTGCATTTTCCAATTTTCTTGGCTTAGTCTTCGAATCACACGCTCGTGAAATAAACTACTGCGCCAATAACTTGATGTAAATGCTTTCTCATGACCGTTTTGTTCCCCACGAAACCTAATATTCTGGCTGTGGTCGAATTAGCCGGTTTTACGTCACATTTTCGTGTTCTGAGCCTTATTAGATTATTAATGGGCATAACTGATGATACGGTTTATATAAGTAACAGCTGCGCAGTTTCACGCCTTACAGCAATAGACCTTCTTAGCTTGTATGTTTCTTTTCCTCTTTCAAACCACGTGATAGTATTCCAGAAAACTGTTTCTTTCAAATTTCGTCTTATCCACGTGCATACATAATTGATGAATTTTCTAGAGAACATTACATGGTCTGAATTGGGAAAACAAAACATACAAACTAAAAACGTCTACCTTATTATAGGAAATTAACGTTCCATGAAATTAACGCGAATCGTTAAAATTCGCGTTAATTTAAGTCGCGTTAATTTTGTTGAGCGTTAATTTCCGCGACCTTAATTAAGTACAGCGTTAATTTCCGCGCTCTTAATTTCCAGTTAACCCCCAATTTTGGAACCTGTCCAGACATTCTTTACACCTAAAAAACATTAACTACAAGCTTTCTTTCTTTCCATTTACCCTTTATTTTTCATCTTTCACAAAAGCTAAGGCGGAGGTTTACAAGTTTCGAACTCATCTTCATCGTTGTCGCTGTCAGAAGTGATGTCAGCTCAGTTTTGTTCAGTTTTGAATTTTTTTACATCCAGTGTTGAAATAAATTTGTTCCAGTTGTCACCACCAACTGTGTCTTAATCGCGTTAATTTCCTTTATTATGAAATTCTACCTCCTCTTTCGCGTTAATTTTCTTTATTCAAGAGTCATTTTCCATTAAATTCGCGTTAATTTCCAATACCTTAATTTCATGGAGCGTTCATTTCCTATAATACGGTATTCCAATGGAAAGGCTTTTTGTCGCTGTCAATAAAATAGCTTGCGAAACTAGGCGCAAAATTCGGCTATTCGGAGGACGGGTAGGATAGGAACCTGGGAACGAGGTTGCTGTATTCGCAGGCCATCGATAACAATCGATAACGAACGAAAGGGAAGGGGAGGTAATTTGGTCGCGAGACCGCGCGCAAGGAAAAGTAAAAGGGGATTCTTAATGGAAAATACAAAATACCATCGACCTTAGGGAGGTTTTGTGAGCCCGCGAGACAGCAACCCCCACAAACCTTTGTTTTCACTAAAATCGCTGGACACAAAACTTCCCTTGGGTCCATGATGCATTGCAGGGCTGTCAACCCCCCACTTCTTCAAATATTGAGAATTGATAGGGAAGGGATGACAGATGACGTCATAAAGCATGGTACATGACGTCATTTGTGCAAAAAATACTCGTTGGCTCCGATCGTCACAAATTTGTGATGACAAAAAACGCGCAAAAAAGATGTTGTAGGCAATGTATATTTGAGATGACTGGTTCATTATTATTACAATGGCATGCCAGAGTTTATGGGGAAACGCTCAATGTTAACTTCAAAATAGTTGAAACAAAGCAATATATTCTAAATTTAGCCTGTGAACAGGCTCCCTGTTCACAGGGTACCAGTATTTGAAATTTTATAGTCGGAAAGTCGAGTCTACTGAAGAAATAGAAAACTACTTTGATTGCGATTATCCGGGAGATCTCATACTTTAATCTGGAGCCTGGAAGATATGGTCTAAAATCTGGAGTCTCCCGGATCATCCGGGAGAGTTGACAGCACTGCATTGTTTCAACCATTCTTAACAGCCTGTACTCTTAAGTCGACCATCTGCTGACCAAAGAAACTGGATAGCAGACTGCCAACCTCGTTCCCAGGAGAAACCCTTTTTTCCCCTTAAATCCCAATCCACATGTGAGGATGGTGCCCATCCACTGGTGTAAAGTGAAACGTGGTCTCTGGGATTAAGATCTGCATACTATCAATGATGTCTTTTTACTTATGAAGTGAACGCAGTATGTCAAATACTTTTATTTACAGTTAATGTAAAGATCTATGAGAACATTGAAGTACAATCAGCTGTACAATAAAACAACGTTTTGTTTTAGTTATGATCAATCTATTGGTAACTTCATTGTCCAATTTGGTGTAATCATACTGGCCTAAATAAAGTTCAAAAACTCTTTAATAATTCATAAAGAAAAAACAAAAGAAATAATTTCTTTTGTTAAGTGATTGTCTTTATATCTGGTAAAAACATTGCTAAACTTTACGGCCAGTTTTTTAGACCAAAATAACCTCAAAACTACTTATTAGTGCAAGAATGAGTTAATCTGTATCAGACATTTTGAAGCCGTTCAAAAAAATCAGGCACTCATGTATTATCAGGTTTAAAAACTCTTGGCTTCACCGCAGGTTTTTAAACCTGATAATACACAACTCCTGTTACCTGGCATTCTTAACTGGCCAAAGTCAAAATGTAACATGGTTTCTTAATTTTATTCTATAAAACATTAAAGAAACAAAATAATAGCACAGACTCTAAAGGTTAGAACCACCTGAAAAGACTCATTTTCATTCTGGGGGTGAAAGTGTTACTCAGTAATGTTGACAGACCAAATTGGACTTCAGTCAGCAGTATAGCAATGAGTAGGTCTAATTTAAAACTACAATTGCAGAATCAATTTAGCATATTTACAACAATAAAGACATATCTAGAAAGAAAAGACACTATATTATTTTTAGTGTCAATGTATCTCCTACTGGAGACAGGACCGCCATCTTTATACAAAGTCATCTGAGCCACGTGATGGTCTTATAGCTGTTTGCAGGGCAATGGCAACACCTTCATTGCTCTTTTATTTTAAGACCCTGAGTATTGGTGTAGAGCCAGGCATTGCACCTGCAATCTCCCATATTGCAATCCATTGCTCTACACACTAAACTAAACCTGCTGCAGTGAAAATAGAAATAATTTCTGGAAACAAAGATTATTTCTGTTAGTCTCAATGCATACTGATGAATTTTTCCAGGCTTTTTGGAACCTCACCAAAATAAGGAAGGCCATATTTTTTCACTGCCCTGGCACTTACACATTTTAAACACAGTGTCATGTTATATCGATAGGAAAGAAAGCTTTCTGCTCTAACATTTCTGCTCTTGTCCATGGCTGTCAAACCATCATTGTCGGTACAATCAAGATGAGCGCCTCCAAGTAAAAGAACCTCCGGCATCTTGGTTATACGATGATATTCTGTCCAGTAATAGGGATTAAACATGGCTGCCCTGTGAAGTGGTGTATCTCCATTGTTGTTTAATGCATTTACATTAAAGCCTGCATCTAAAAGTAGTTGCACTGTCTTAATACAAGGAAATCCAAGAGTGGGCACGCTCCACAACCCCTCAAAGTACCTAACTGGATTTCTACTAGCGGCAGCAATGTGTAACAATGTATTTCCTTCCTCGTCACGTGGGTTCAATGCACATAGCTTCTGTAGTATACATGACACACTAGCATTCTTGTTGTTTCCACAAAGTTCATCTTTGGTAAGAAACTGCAAAAGTTGAACTATATTTCCAAATAATTTTGTCAGTTCTTTTTCACTTTCCACTGTTGTCTTTTCTTTTTCTTTTACCAATGCTGTTATTGCTTGATCAAGCACTTCAAGTACATCTGTTTGACTAGGTAGATTTTTGCTTTCTTCAAACGCAGCACTATATAAATATAATAAATGGTCTAAATCAAAGCCAACTGTTTGATTATAACACTGTGCTATTTTCATTGCATATCTGCACAGTCCTACCAAAAGTTCATAACGGCTTTCATCACAACTGCTCGTTACACTCCGAATTGCTTCAAGAAGTTCTATGTTGTTCTCCAAGAATCCTTTCCATAATAAGGAGGCATTCTAACTCCTGGGCGTAGGTGTCACTTAACTCTTTTAGAGCAAGTTCCTCAAGAGTTTGGCTTTCCATTTTATTTTGATATGCTTTAACAGGTTGTAAAGATTGTTTCAATATGGGATCTGAGGTGTTTTGAAATCGCTCTTCCATTCCACGCTTTATGTATTGAAAAGCTGCCTCTTCTTCAGGCATTGTTCCGGTAAGACACAGGGAGGCACCCAGGAGCTCTAGGGCATCAATTCTTTGCTCTCTTGAACATTCTGGTCGCTTGATTAAATCCTCCACCAATGAAATCTTACAGTGATTACTAGCAAGAAGGAGGAAGTCATTAAACACAACAAGTATTGGCATATCTCCTTTTAGCATATACACACTCAGTGATCTTGGTGATTCAAGCGAAGTGATTGGTTCCATATCGCGGACTATGACGTAGCGCGGTGAATATAAAGCAAAACAAAATCGCTGTCATAAACTGGGTGTTTTGCCAAAGTTTTAGAGTAAGACGGAACTTTTTAAAAATACAAGAATATCCTAGTCTTCATGATTTTGAATGTTAAAGAAAAGACTTCATGGTGTATAAACAGCCCTATATATTTATTGTGAAGTGATTCTTTGTAGCCGACTTTTTATACGCTCGAACGGCAAGGTTTACCCGGCTACAGAGGAAAACGAGGCCGCCTTCTGACTATTTTGTGAACTTGGGATTTCCTCGCAAGACTATTTTTGCCTATAAATAGAAGCTAATTTATGGAGAACATTGTATGTACCAACAAGTTAAGAATTAAGGCAAAGAACACTGCAGATATTAAACAACGCTCACTTTGATCGAAGCCGCTGTTGACATCGTATGCAAGAAGTGACAAAAAAACGTTGGGACAGAAGCAAATATAAAGCTCTACGTTTCTTCTCAGAAGGGGTAGTAATTTAAAATTTCGACGTTTTTTTTTTAAACCATGGATGTTAAAGGTCAAAGCTTACAAAAATGTAAATGTAATAAACGACCAACACTCGACCGATGTAGCTACCCATTTGTGACTGACAGTCGACTGAGATATCGGCCGATACTTCTGTAGACAACCCCTATAAGACATATGATCCTCTAGGGCTTGATATGCGACTTTTCCAAATCGATGAGGTCATGTAGTTGTTAACTAAAGGCGGTGCAATGGACTTGCACTTAATTCGCCTTCACAATGTGTTACGGGCATAGTACATATAATTTTTGGCCTAACGCTAATGTTCAGATATGAGGATGTATCATATCAATTGCTGGAGCGGGGAAAGCTGGTCTTTCTGGGGGATAATTAAAGTTGAGACGTGGATTTTTGAAGTAACAAGCAATTTTTCTACCCAGGATGACCCGTCTGCTAAGTGTGGTTATAACATTTAGACCGTTTCTTGATCTGAAGCATCAATCTTTTGACTGTACGCTGTACCAGAATCATATACTCATATAATTAACCCTGAAGAACCCTGAAGCGTCCCAATTCCTTTCATTTGTTTAGAAACATGTTGGGGTTTCTTGGCCGTCCAATCAGAAGCACGGATTTTTTTTTGTCCTAATATGGAATCAGAGAATGGAAGGCATCCCTGTCTGAAAAGTAGTTGAATCCTTTAAGTCCGTAAACAGTTCTCTTAGTACATCCATAACTCAACAGTTACACACTCCGCCGTTTAACTTTTTTTACAGAACAAAATCAACGGACAAAGACAATTATATTTTTGGGTAGCGGAGCCGACAAGTGTGTTGTCATTTGTGCGCACCATAGTTAGTAGAGGGGAACTCTACTAACTATGTGCGCACTAAGCTGCACTATGGCATGCACTAATAACTTTCTTCGCGAAACCTTTCTGTAAAAAATCGAGAAGTACTTTTCGTCTCAGTATCATTGCAAAAATATACTATATGTTATTCATAGCAACCTTTGAAAACTATCGGGTGAAAATAAGGTCGCGTAATGTTGACACACACTAGGCTGATTTAGCAACAGGACGGGAACGTCAGTAGACGACGGGAAAGCGAGCGGAAAGGACTAAACACGACTTCTGGTGCTCAGTTTGCAGCTCTGCCATTGGTCATTGTTTTATTTACGCGCGCCGTAGTCAGCTGACGTTCCCGTTATGTTACTAAATCAGCCTACTCTTTTGAAAAAGCGCAAGCTTTCGTCACCAAGTGCCAGGCCCGTAAATGTTTATCATGATTAGTCGTCTTTGTCATGTCTGGTTACCCTGGCCATTTTGAATTCCGATTTTCGTCAAATTTTACTTCATAAAACTGTTATTGCCCCTTGTAGCGCTTTGTTTACATCTTGAGACAAAGTTTTCATAACATAAGGGCGACAGTCTCCCGTATCAGTTCTAAATTAGTTACAAAGTAAATTTTGATTGGTTCTCAGAAAAAAAAAAAAGCTTCGGAACAGTCCCGAAAATCGACGAGCAGCCTGAATAACCCGCGGTTTTTATTTCATGTACGCGCTCGACGATCTCTGAAATCTGTGAACAGTCTAGTTTCGCCGTAGCGATAATTTTTTTTCCTTACTTTGACCTCATGCTGTCATTCAAGACTGCGGAATGACTGCAGAGCTTTAATAAGCACCATCTCTACCATCTCTCATCTCTAGAAAGGAGGTCGGGACCACACATTCTCTCTTGAAAAACCCAAGGAGCCTGAAATCAGTTCGTTGTTCGTATGTTATCAAATGTACCGGCCTGGTGTGCTTTAGTGAAGAGATTTTTGGTGTCAGCGTGCATAAATGATTAGTCAACTGACCTTACTACACATATCACAATCGGTAAAAAAAGTACACTGCATAAGAAAATGTGGAGATAAAAAATCGAGACTGAAGCAAAGGTAATGAAACGTGCGAAACCTCAGGTGATTAGGGCAGTGCGGGTAGGTCTCAAGTCATTATGGATGACCTTCTCCTTTCTGAAGTTCAGATTATTAGATTAGCAATAAAATACGGTAGGATTATATTGGGAAGTATACTTCCGAAAAACAAAAGGAATTATTAAAATATTGGTGAAAAAAAAAAAGAAGAAAAATACTGAACCCAGCGGTATGAATCAAACCACGCAAACGTCGTTACGCAGGAATTTCTATTGGCCATTTTCTCCAAGTAAAGAACAAAGCATTAACTTTTCAAGTTCAAACCAAGGTTTAGATTTTCAGTATCAGAAGGAAAATGACCAAGAGTATACTGTAAAGAACCCGGCGTTAAAATCACTGGGTAGATGAAATGAGGAGGGAATGGGAGGTAGCTAATAAGCGCGCTAAATTTACCGGAACCGCCACGTAAGCAATCGAAGATGCCGCGACTAGTGCTTGCTAATCGCGCCATCAGCACTGTGAATTGGGGACAGCCTTAATAGGGTGATGGATATCACTTTCGACAGCGATAGAATTTGACGAATGCAAATGGCATTAATCATCCAACTTGAAACTAGTATTGTCAGTTTCAGGGGAACAACCGTCCGTAAGTAAGTTGCTCCTCTAAATTCTTAAAAAGTTGCTTCCTCGTTGGTTTAAATCATAATTATTTGTTGTGATTACATTACAAATACCAAACATTCCCTTTACGTGTTAAAGCTTTGGAAAGCTTATTAATTCGGAAAAAAAAGGATTGATCGCTAATCTTTTCTTTAGACGCTTATACTGACAAGGACACTAAAGGATATAATTAGCTGAGACGTCATGAAAAACAAACTGACAAGTGCCTCACAGTAGTAATGCATGAACAATCAGTATGAATCACTTTGGCATGGCAGTGCAGTGATGAAACTTAATTTTACTTTTTCTTCATGGAGCAAGTCAGATTGTCTGTGCAGATTTTGAGAGAAGCGAATAAACAGCCAATGAGCTTTGCAATATATCAGACACAAAGAGAAGCTTCAACTCTTGACACTTGAAGAGCAAAGCAAAATAGTACATCACGGAAACATGGAATTAAAGCGAAAAGTTAAAGTCAAACATTTAACGTGCAGTTGGATAAGTTGTCTTTGGAAGAAAAAGGGAAGGTAAAGAAATAAGGTTAGTGTATATAAGTAAAAATTCCCTTATTGTTTGTGGACAGGAACTAATGATATACATGTATAAGTGCATGGAAGATGTTTATTTAAAACGTCAGGAGTAAACCATTGTTCTCTAAGGGGCAAAATAGTGAGAGGGGGAGGAAAATTTGGAAGGAGAAGGGGCCTGAGGGAGTTCCTGTAAGTTCTTCCCTCTTCCATTTTTTGGTCATTTTTTTGTGAAATCAGAATGATTTACTGCAATACTTAGGCCAATTCTCCGAAGAGCAATTTCCCCCCCTTTACTCGACCCCAACTTCAGGACCATGATAAATTATGTCCATTTTAGGTAATTCAGTGCTTTACTTCTCCATAATCTGTCCACGCAACAGAAATGATGCCTTCACCTAAAGACAATCTGTATATTATTCGCATGAGAGGGAGCATTTCTTCAGTTAAGCCAAGATGGTGGGAGAACAACGCCTTCCCTTTGTCCTCTACGCGGTATGCACTGCTGTGCTTCTTGCTCAGGGAAGTCAAGGTACCATGAAGTATTTGCTTATTGAAATGTTTCACGAATATGCTTTTAAATATTGATATTTGATGTTCATTTTCTACGGTAAAATTGATGAAAGTTTCATTTCAAAAAAAGGATACAGGTATCGGGGGTGGGGCGCGCAAGGAAAGGGCAAGTTGCGGAACTATGTTCAAGGCCATTGCGCTCAAGGCGTTTTGAAATTATTAAAAGATATTGCATCCACTGTAAATAGCCCAGAGGCAACGGGAGCTTACTTTTACTAAGACACTTTTCTTCTCTTTATAACAGCAATAAGTTTCAAAGCTGGAAAAACCAACGTCACTGTCAAAAGTC